TGTGTGTGTGTGTGTGTGTGTGTGTGTGTGTGTGTGTGTGTGTGTCCAATATATCCCACGGTGTACTCGCCATGCCCCCCATGAAACCCATGGTACACCCCGCCCTGCCGCAACCAAACTAACACTGCATGCTGCCACTCTGCGAACTCACTGGAGCTACCTCGTACAAACGTGGTTATCCGTGAGCAGCTTTTCCCAAGTGCCAAAAACGTGCAAGCACACCAGCAGGCAAAGTCCCCAAAAGATGCCAAGACCAGGCAGACAAGAAAAGCATCAGGGCATGCCAAAACCAAGCAAGCAAAAAGACATCAAGGCACAGGCTGGGGGGCACGGGGGAGGCGGGAGGGAATACAACAAGCACACAAAACCAGCACACAAACACACCAAGGCAGGCAAACCGAAAAAGATACAAGTCCCAAGCAAATCGAAAGACCGAAAAAAATAAATAAAAACAGATGATGATGAGATTGTTTCGTCGGAGTTGCACCGACTCATCAGGAGGCTGAACCCTCGACAATCTGCAGAACCCCCGTATTTGATGGTTTGGGTCATGAACCCTTTGACCCATGTTGAAGGCAGACTGTCCCCAAGCGGGACATAGCAGCGGGCAGCAACCCTGTGGAGCACCAGGCAACATAGTAGAGGCAGCCCAACTGCTTATCACCAAAGATGACTGCAAGGAACGACAGGGCAAGCGGACGAGCAGCTGGGCAACCGTGCGGTGAAGCGCAAGGCAACATCAGCAAGGCGACCAGACTACAAGGCACGCAAGCAAGTAAGGGACGCGGAAGGCCAACAGGGCAAGCAGACAAGCAGCTCGGCAACCATGCAGTGAAGCACAAGGCACCACCAACAAGGCAACCAAACTCCAAGGCATGCACGAGGCACGCGAACAAAAGACACGGGAGGCACAACCCGCAGGTAGGCAGCAAGGCAGCAGAGCGGCGAGGACGACCTGCAAAGCAAGCGGCACGGGCAGCAAGACCGCGGCAGAGCGCAGACCAGACAGTCTACACGGAGCAAAGCAGCACATAACCTACTCAAATCACGATAGAACCCCTCAGACTGTTGGTTCCCACCACCCGCTGAGCCAGGGGTACAGTCTGACGACCATCCGTCATCACCGACAGGCAACGCAGACATCCCGAACCGAGCGGCCCCCCTAAGAGTGCAGTTGGCACTCCAAACGAGGAACCACCGACTGTTTGGCACTGCTAGAGGGTGCTCGGATAGAGACACAAAAAGCACTTAGAAAAAATAGGAGAAAGAGGAAAAACAAGCATAGCTAAAACTGATTGTGTGTGTGTGTGTGTGTGCGCGCGCGCGTGTGTGTGTGTGTGTGATGTGTGTGTGTGTGTGTGTGTGTGTGTGTGTGTGTGTG